ACTTTTTGATGGCCCTGTTAACTTTTACCGACGATTTATACCCAACTGCGCCTCGCTGATGCAACCGCTCACGGACCTTCTCCGAGGGAAACTCAAGAAGTTCGAATTTCCTGCCTCAGCACGCGCTGCTTTTAAGTCGCTGAAAGAGGCCATCGCCAACATAGCTTCCATAGCGCATCACGATCCGGCCGCCCCACTGTCCCTCAGTACTGACGCCTCGGACGTGGCAGTCGGCGTTGTTTTACAGCAACGAGTAGCCGACACGTGGCAACCCTTAGCCTTTTTCTCCAAACGCCTACAACCTACCGAATCTCGCTACAGCACGTTCGGTAGGAAACTACTTGCCGTATATCTAGCGATACGTCACTTTCGACACATCGTAGACGGCCGCTCCTTCGTCGTCTTCACCGACCACAAACCCCTGACTTACGTGCTCGGTTCGACTACCGACCGATACTCTCCTAGAGAGTCGCGCCACCTTGACTATATCGCTCAGTTTACGACCGATATACGGCATGTCTCAGGTGTGCACAACGCCGTCGCCGATGCACTTTCTCGTATCCAGGCTATCTCCGCTGACGCCGGCACTGCTATCGACTTGGCAGCCATGGCCACAGCGCAACTTAACGACCCAGAGGTTGATCTACTACGCAGGTCTCCCTCCTTGGATATACGACCCGTTCCGCTGACATCATCAGACGGCACTATACTCTGCGATCTGTCTCTGGGCACGCCGCGCCCAGTCGTCCCACGCGAGTTTCGGCAGACCTTGTTTGACACCTTGCACGGCTTGTCGCATCCAGGCGTCCGTGCATCGGTTAAACTCGTAACCGCACGATTCGTTTGGTGCAATGTTAATCGGGACGTCCGTACCTGGGCAGCTGCTTGCCTTCCGTGTCAACGCGCGAAGGTACACAAGCACATGAGAAGTGCATTAGGCACTTTTCCGACGCCAGACGCACGTTTTCATCACGTGCACGTCGACCTCGTGGGTCCTCTGCCGCCTTCCAAAGGCTCGGTATATCTACTGACGTGCATTGATCGATTTACTAGATGGCCTGAGGCCGTCTCTACCCCAAACTGCTCCTCGGAAACGGTAGCGAAAGCTTTTCTGGAGCGCTAGGTAGCACAATACGGCTGTCCCGCCATCGTGACCACCGATCGAGGTCACATCTCTCGTCGACATTTGACATGTTGCTTAAGAATTTAGGCTGTCGCCAAGTCCAGATGACAGCGTATCATCCGGCCGCTAACGGCATGGTGGAGCGTTTTCGCCGCCAGTTGAAGGCATCGCTACGTGCGCACGCAGATCCTTCATGGTCTGAAACGCTTCCCCTCGTCCTTCTAGGCTTAAGAAACACTGTTAAAACCGATTTCGACTCCACACCAGCGCAGCTAGTCTACGGTTGCACGCTGCGGTTTCGCGGACAACTGGTAGCACCAGCCCCATGTACTTCCACTTTTGACTACGGAAGTTACACAGACCGATTGGCTCACCAGATGCGTGAGCTACGTCCACCCGCTCCTCGATCGCAGAAGACACCCGTGTACGTGCCCGAGAAGCTGTCTACTTGTTCACACGTCCTTCTTCGCGCAGACGGTGTTCGACAGCCTCTTCAGTCACCGTACATAGGACCCTTCAGGGTGCTGCATCGTGCGAGTAAGGCGTACACTATTGACCGTGGTGGTCGACACGAAGTCGTCACCATCGACCGTCTGAAACCCGCCGTTATGGAAGAGACTACCTCGCCTACTTCGTCTAGTAGTGTCTCGTGCGATGTCACAACTCACCGTACCAGTTTTCCGCATGCTAATAAAGTCCAACCAGACCACGATCACGGTCTGCAAGCTTCAGCGGTCCCGACATCACCCGAACCTAGTCCGCCGCCTCCCACGACCAATCGCCGTGGTCGGGAGGTACGCAAGCCCGTTCGCTTCTCCGACTATGTACAGTGTAAATACTTTTAACTTTGTAGATATTGTATATATTTGCCTCATTTTTGGTCGATTAACGTTTTGAAAACAAACAAAAATACCAAAAACCCCCGAAAAACCTTACTCAAAAAAATACTCAAAAACCAAAAAAATATTAAAACACGCAGATCATTCGTTTGTTCTTTTTGGCGTTTTCTGCGCGTGTTTTTCTATTTTCTCGTCCTTACATGCCCCAACCCACCCTTTCGATTGACCAGGCCACACGAGGACCCTGACGCGAACACTGGTCACTTCTCCGCGGGACGACGATCACTTCTTCGCGGGACGAGGATCGCTTCTCTGCGAGACGACTGCCACTTCTCCGCGGAACGAGGATCACTTCGCCGCGAGACGAGGGTCGCTTCTCCGTGGGATAATGGTCGTTTTATTCGTGGGACGAGGGTCATTTTGGCGCGGGGCGGGGTGCGGCGGGGGGGAGACCACTCCCAAGCGCACCGTTTGGCAGCAGCGGAGGTTGAGGTCCTGTCGGCCTTTTTCTGGGCTAGCCAGTATTTTGTAGTCCAACAAACCCGCTCCAACGGCTCGCCGAAATGCACCCTGCCCTGCATTCAATAAAAAACAAATCATAAACGGCACAGCGGACTCCTACTTTCGACGAACCCCCATTTACACGAACGCACGCCCATTTTTACTCGGCACGATTTCGCCTTACGAACCTCGTTTCAACATTCCTTTTCGATTTTGAAGGCTTTCTATGTTCAGCCTTCTAGGGGGGAGCTCTGTAGCGCCCAAAAGGATAACTCTTATCTTTCGTGTACAATTTACTTGTTGACCGATTGTACATTACTCCTTCTTGTTTTAATCTTATAACCGGCTTCACCCACAACCGCCTTGTAAGTCCCCGCGCTCATGTGTACGCTCTTGCCTCGCTTCATCCGTCCGTTTCTTGTTCTAGCCCATCAAATACAGCCTGCTGTGTCCGACTCCCCATTGCCTTCTGATATCCGCGCTTAATTACGCGCATCGCCTCGGACTAGTAATAACTAGTCCTACAAGACCCAGATACAAGGAGACCTAACTCGTACGCCTTATTCCTTAGACTGCGCACATTACTTAGCACTATCTGTAGGTATTCGTTGGATCCAGACCTGGGTCATGCGCTATCACAATTGGCAGTAGTAGGGCGGGGCAGGACTGTGGGCTGACCACCCGTAAACCCACTAAGTGGAGACCTTATGTCCCGGCCGCTCGTCTGCTTTTGAGAGCCTTGATGGCCTCCCTAAACATCAGCCTATCGGCCAGCGGAAGGTCCGGCCGAACGCTAATATTTGTACCTTTCAACCTAAACGCAAACCGCTTGAGAGCGCTGCGTAACTCCGGGGTAGAGGATACTACACGAAGTAGCTGCGGTTGAGGGTTCGGCACATTAACTAATACGTTCCCCAGTCTATTCAGTTTCCTGACAGTAACGTCTGGAAAACCAGGCGGAAGAAGCTTCCTTACGCACATTTTAAACCATTGAAGGTCGTCCGACCTGCGATCAGAGGAAAGAACGGCAGTAGCTTCAGCCGCGTTAGGGAATATGACGCTACTATCCGTGAAAGAATCTCCACGGCGGGTGCATTAATCCCACGGATCTTTGATTCGACACGGCGCAGGTGGCTTCACCACTGGTGATGAGAATCGCTTTGGCCCCGCCGATGGTGTAGCATACACAGGTTATGTTTTTCGCTTCATTGTCGATGTCTTACCTTTTTCGGGTTCTCAATGCCGCCGAAAGGCTTTATGGCGGATTTATTCGGCTCTTTCTTCTTGATAACTGGAGCACGGTCACGTGGCGCTTTTTCGCTTTGAGCAGAGTCCAGCAAATCTTCAGACCATGCCTTCTCGGTGACAAACCGAGATATCCGGCACCAGCGGCTGACAAGAAGTACGGGTTGGAATCTTCGCCTTCACATTACCGTCAGACGGTCTGATAAGTAACGACACGTGGATTGTTTCCGGTGCGGAGATAACTGCAACCTCTTGTTTAGCAGTGAGCTTACCGGGCTTCCTGGCTCTCTATGGCTTTACTCGAAGAAACCCTAGAACCGGCAATTCGGCGTCGATCAGGGTAGCTCTAGATACGACGTCCGAAGCAGCTTCATTTTTGTGGTCCGTAGCCATCTGGACGGGTGACGTAATGATTGGTGCCACAAGTGGATCTGCAGTGGAAGCGCGCAAACCTGCTTTGCTGGAGACAGGAAGCGTCGTCATGAGTAGAGAAATCTTAAGGCGAAGGACTGAGAGCATCGAGAACGAACGCTCTACATTTCGCAGCCAGCATCAAAATATACGTTTGTCGTACGAAGGGCCGCGCGGCCATGCTGGCGACTACAGCAATTGGTACAACTGAAAAGTAAGTTTTCGCTGGAGGCGAGCGCAGCGTACTGCTCGGTATTTAAGTCCGTACAAAGCTAGTAGTCCTATCGGTTACAGCCCTAGCAATGCATACCGCCGGAATAGTCAGGTAGTGGTATATTGCAGCTTGGACTGCCACAAAATGCGATAACCCCAGAATCCAAGCCACCAAGAACATCAGCCTCGGTGCCTGCGAGGACGACGTAGTGGAAAACAGAGCGCAAGTATAAGACGTATACAATAGTCAACCGACCTTAATAAGAGGCAAAAACAGTGCAAAACGGGAGTAAAACTTGGAAAAACGGAAAAATTACCCGGAAGCGCCAAGGACGCTTTGACCAACGCGGCAATAATCCATCCGACATACCTTGGATCAGAGGAAATTTGACAATAGGCAAATTCCATTACAATTGTTTATGCAAACACCGGTTTCCACAATATTGCAGCTAAAAAGCTCAATCAGTATTTCACGCCAAAAATCGAGTTACCGCGTAGTACTTCTCTAGTTGCTTCGCAGTATACGTACGATATTTGAAAAAACTACAGGCAGTCGCAAAATGGAAGTTGCGAACAGCTTCTTCCACTTCCTCCCAGCTTTTTATAGCGATCGCAGACCATACTGCAAAAACAGCATTGTCATCCAACATGGCGCTCGTTAACCAATTAGACCTCCTCCAGTTAACCTCATTTAAAACAGCGCGAAATTCACAACTAATAAATCTTATCAACTACCATTTCTTGTACATACTTACGCACAAAGCGACACATATACATCTCTTTCATATCCAGTTATAAATGCATCACCATTTGGCCTGCCGTACCGGAACACAAAGCCCCTGCAGGCCAATTTTTCAGTACAAAAATTAGCCTCTCCCAATAGACTCCGGTCTGTGGGTAGTCCCAAGCGGTTGGCAATATGAGCACCTGCTTTCGCGCTGTGGGGAGTCCGAACAATTCTTGCTACTGGCCATCTGGTTGTCTCTGGAGCGTTGTGTTCTTCGCAGTTGCGGTACTCACCTACTTGGCATACAGACCTTTTCGTCTGTTTGATAGGCTGTTGAGCAGTAATTATGTCTACCAATTCACATCATCTTAGTGACTACTTTCTTAAATACGCTTTCTCCGAAATTCTACGTTGCGTTGACGGGTACTAGCTCTTTGATTTCCGGCTTGATATTAGTGAGCCAAGTTTTCTGTCTAATATTAGGTTTTAGATCTTCGAGTGGTGGTATTTTCGAAAGTACGGGAAATCTTTCATCGAGCAGATATCCTTGAATCACATTTATCCGCTAATTGGAGGTTCCGACGACGACAATGATTGTGACAGTCTGGACTCCAATGGGCCACTCACAACTACTCAAGGTACTTTTGTGGCTGTTCATCGTAGTCGATTCACTAACAGAATGCAAAGTTTGGCGAAACCCATATAGTTTATTTCGCGGTGCGGAATATCAGCGTTTTTACCGAGAGACTGGCCGTGATCCTCTAACGTACTACGATATGAATTTGTCAGCACAAGATCATCAGACTTTTTTCACTTGCGAGGCAGACGCTGGTATGCCAGAATATGAAAGTAGGTACTTCGATGTCAATTAAACCTCTTTGACAGTTATGCAGCTTGCATGGAGGGAACGTAGTCACGAAGAACGTATTAAGAAAACGAAAGAGGCTCTAGCTAAAAATCCGGAATGTGCAACTGCTATGATTCTTTTAGCTGAGGAAGAATGTTCTCCGATCGTTGAGGTAGGCTAACGTTTTCCGTTACACTGACCCGTATTAGCATTTTCCTTAGGCTTACAACGGTACTTGTTCTTGTTGCCTCTCATTAATTCATCCTTAATCGATCAATTTCACGAGATTTGCGCATTGGTCGCTTCAAGTGAGTGTCAGGCGAATATCCGCCGCAACCAGACTAGACCTTGACCCGATGCTGAGGTTTGTGTATCTCCCATTGTTTGAGCCCTGCTAGATGGGACTTCCGGGTCTCTTTAGAGCGACTCCTATCGGTTTTATGAAAGACTAGGGGTCTGACGAACTCTATTTCTGCTTCTTCAGACCAGGCTTTATTTTCCAGATGTAACAGGGCCTGAATACTGTACGGTTGTTCATACCTACCCATGATCCAGTGAGGTACGGTTAGTTTCAGGTGCATCCGGAAACCAGCTTTTGAGCCAAAACCTTTTGTTGACGATCCTAATCATTCTCCTGTTTAGGCTTTGGTGCCCCGATATATTTCGACCCACTTACAACCACAACTATTTCACCTAGCTCCAACCACATCGTCTATCGGCCGTCACGCAGCTTTAATGGGACTGCCTTGTCTATTGCAACGAGACAACCTTAAAGTGCTGCGACGGTTTACGGACCTCTTTGACTTATCGAACTATACTGGGTGGTGCTCCAGGGCTTTTTGAGAGCTCAGGTCAGGTCAGGTCAGATGGACGATAGAGGCTTCCGCCTAACGAGCGTCCAGTTCTTGTGCCGGTAAGTGAAACTGCCCCCGGCACTTCGACGTTGGATTGTCTCTTCTTGCTTCTGCAATGGAATGAAGCAAGAACAAGAGCAACCTCTGCACTTTCATATGCCAGCATCAAAAAACACTACATATACCAGTACAACTACAATAGCTCTGGAAAAAGAATGGACTAACAATTGTCTAAGCCCCTTTTGAAGGCTACTACGGTCTCAGACTCCACTAAGTCAGAAGGGAGTTTATTCCAGTAGTTAACTACTCGGTTCGTAAAAACTTTGCCCTGATGTCCAAACGAGCTTTGTGATGTTTGAGCTTCAGACGATGCCCGCGCAGATGATCTGACGTAGCCAACTCAAACAGATGGGTGGAACTAATACCACTAAGTCCCTTAATGATCTTAAACGTCTCTATCAAATCCCCTCTCAACCTACGCCGTTCCAAGGAAAATAAACCTAAGCTACTTAGACGATCTTCGTAAGACTTCCCTACTACTGCCAGGTTGCTCATTGGTTATAGGTCAGATGAACTCAGTCTCCTGGTCCTTCAGATTGGGGTTTAAGATGGAATGTCCATTTCTGTAAAACTAAATCATTGCCACCCCGCTGCTTTCGCCCAGGCTTCTGAGCCGAAGGCTTTGGTTGAGGACCCTAAACGTTCTACTGTCTAGGTCTGGGCACCTCGGCAGTATCACAGCCTACGAACAACCATGACCGTTTCTTCAGACTTCAACCACATCCTGCATCGGCTATCGCACAGCCTAACAAGCCTCGCCTTACCTGTTGCATACAGTAAGGCGGATAGGCGAAAACCACGTGTTTCTCCTACTCCCCTTCCAATATCGGTTAGTGACCTTTCTTCTATAATTCCCAGTTTCATTGACCGCAACCACCATGCCACTGAAGTCATGCCATGTGCAGCTATCTTCCCGCAGTACCCAGTGAACACCAGTCGCCAATAGCTCCTCATAGGCCGCATTGTCCCGTTTTCGTGGCGGCTTTCAACATTCGTCTGAAACCGGCAGGTGATGTACTAGTGCTGGATAGCCCGGGCGGATAGGCCCTAACCTCCAGCACTGAGCATGCATCCGCGTTGGTGGCGCACTTCGATACTGTGTTTACAAATGACCCATTGAGCTATACTGGATGATGCCTCCGAGCATCTTGAGAGCTACTCCTACCAGATTGATCAATGGTGAGAGGTCAGACAAACTCAGTCTCCTGGTCCTCCAGGTTGGGGGTTTGAAATGGGATGGCGTCCATTTCTGTAAAACTAAATAATTAAAAACCTCCCCGCTGCCTTGCGGACAGGCTTTTGAGCCAAAGACTTTGGATGAGGACCCTAATCGTCCTCCTGTCTAGGTCTGGGCGCCCTGGCAGTATCTCAGCCCACATACAACCATGACATTTTCTTCAAACAAACTTCATCCTGCATCGGCCGTCGCGCAGATTATCAAGGGTCGCCTTATCTGCTGCATACAGCAGGGCGGATAAGCGAAAGCATGCTACTGCTGGCGCCTCCCTTCTTTCTTTTCCACCTTTTTCTCTTACTCCCATCCCGGCCCCTATTACTAACCTTCCTTCTATAATTCCCAGCTTACTTGACAGCAACCGAAGTGCTACTGGAGTAGTACCGTCTGCAGCCACCATCCCACAGCACCTATCAGACGCCTATCGGCAAAAATTCCTTATAAGGCCACTCTGTCCGGTTTCCATGGCGACATTCAACGTCCGCACTCTAAGACAAACAGGTCAGCAGGCTGCACTCGCACGCACCTTGGACACACTGAGTGTTGATGTGTGTTGTGTGTCCGAAACTAGGATTAATGACCCTAACGGGGTTATTGAATTGACTGCACCCGGCTTATCCTCTTGTTATTGGTTGCACGCATCCGGAGACGCCGATGCGGCACTCACGGGTCAAGCTGGTGTAGGTATCATTCTCAGTTCCAAGGCTGAGTCATCGTTGGTTGATTGGATTCCGGTGAACAGCCGTTTATGTGCAGCCCGTTTGACGACATCAGCTAAGGTGAATTCGCGAAGTAAAACAAAACGCTGTTTGTTTGTGATTTCTGCTTATGCTCCCACCGACTGCAGTTCTAATGCAGTCAAGGACACTTTCTATCACGAACTGAACACGCTGCTACGCAGTGCTACTAGTTCAGATATTATAGTACTTGCAGGGGATATGAACGCACAAGTAGGGCGACTGAGCTCTTCAGAAGCTCAGCTGGGTGGTAAGTATGGACTTAACGCCGAACGGACTGACAACGGCGAGCGTCTGCTGCAAATGTGTGCGGAGCACCAGTTGTTTCTTTCTAGCACTGCTTTTAGACACAGTGGGCGCCGAAGTGCCACTTGGCGTCCACCTGTAGCTGGTCAGCGATGGACCCAAATTGACCACATAGCCATAAGTTACAGGTGGCGCGGTTCCATTCTGGATTGCCGCTCGTACTGGAGTACCTGTGTCGACTCTGATCATGCCTTGGTGCGCTGTCGTTTCTCCATGAACTTTACCGGAAGGCGCACAAAGCGTCTCCCCCGATTGGCAACGGAGGAATTGTCCCAGCCCTCTGTCAGGCAAGCCTATCAAGAAGCACTGCATAGCGAACTCTCGCTGTCTTGTCCTAATGACACTGAACTTCAGTGGAATAGGATCTCGGCCGCTATGCACGACGCAGGAGCATCAGTTTGTGGCACTATCAGTCGTCACCGCACCAGTCACTGGATATCCGAGAGGTTCGTGAACCTTTTGGAAGCTAGAAGGCACCTCCCGGCTGGTTCTGAACACAATGTGACCAGACGGGCTATTAGGCGTGAACAAAAGCGGAGTCTACGTGCTGACAAGGAAGCCTAGTGGACCAGTCGAGCTCAAGAAATGGAGGAGCCTGGAGCAGTAGGCAATTACCGCAAGCTCTTCCAGCTAATACGCACCGCTGGTCCGAGAAAATCAGGCGTCAGTGAGACAATCAGGGACAGCGCGGGTGCGCTGGTGCACAATAAGGAGCGCCGTATGGCTCGTTGGGCTGAGTATTTTGAAGATCAGTTCAGCTGGCCCCCTGCTCCCGGACCTCTTCCTACTCAGGTGATGCAGGACGTGCCATGGACGGTTAGTTTAGAGCCTCCGTCGGAGGCCGAGGTCCGAACCGCGATCACAGCCCTCAATCGTTTTCTTGCCGCTGGTCCGGATTCCCTACCACCTGCACTATTTAAGGATGGAGGTGAGGTCCTCTGCAAAGCACTGACCTCCCTATTCGAATGTATCTGGAACGAAGAGTGTACCGGCTAATTGGAGCGAATCGATTATAGTGGCAATATACCAGAAGGGCAGTCGCACAGACTGTGCGAACCACAGGGGTATTAGCCTAACGCCAGTTGTGACAAAATTACTGGCCTCGATTATCGTTCGTCGCCTCACTGCAGAACGGGAATCTCGGGTTAGGGAAGAGCAGGCCGGTTTTCGCCCAGGACGTGGCTGTATAGACCGTGTATTTACTTTGCGTCAGGTGCTAGAGCAGCGCCACGCATACGGCAGACCGACAATAGCTGTGTTCCTCGATTTCAAGAGTGCGTTCGATTCAGTCGATCGATCGATTCTGTTCGAATTACTTGCGCGAAAAGGTGTTCCCACGAAATATGTGAACATCCTTCGTGCTCTATACTCGAACACTACAGGCCGCGTCAGGGTCTATGGTGTCCTAGCGGATAGCTTTTCAACTACAAGTGGCGTTCGTCAGGGTTGTCCGATTTCCCCGTTTTTGTTCAATTTCGTCGTGGATTCTATCATGGAGTGTTCCCTTGCGGAATCTCACGATGTAGGTGTTGAAGTGCTGCCCGGTGAAAGGTTAGTTGATCTACATTATGCGGACGATATCGTCTTGCTTTTCCACAATGTTGTTGGGCCACAATCAACCCTGAATAGCCTGTCAAGAGTGGTCCTATTATTTGGTACTCACTTCGCACCTCCAAAGTGCAAACTGTTGCTGCAGGACCACCAGCCACTCGATGACCCCTTGACGCTTGCTAACGAGTAACTCGAGGTGGTTGATCAATTCACTTATCTTGGCAGCTGCATCAGCAATGATGGGCGCATAGAAACTGACGTGAGCTCACGCATTGCAAAGGCCAGAGCTGTCTTCTTGAACCTGCGTCATCTTTGGCGACAGAAGGGAGTTTCCCTCCTTCTGAAAGGCCTTGTATACAAGGCCACAGTGAGGGCCGTTCTGCTCTATGGTAGTGAAACTTGGCCCCTTCGGTCTGAAGATCTGAGGCGC